ATATCACTATTATTTCAGTTCGTGTACCATTAGAATTGAAATTCCTATCACATTGTTAAGTTTCTTTTATTATGTTGACGATTATAAATTGGAAGCTACTCATTTTTGAACTAGACACTCAAATGGCCCTCTTATATCTTAGTTTTAAGCTTGGGTATGGGTTGAAACAAACCTGATCCATGGCTACCGAGTTTTTCATGAAATGGAGATGAAGTGTAAAATATACATCAAAGATGTGTATGACAATTGTTTTAAATTAAAACATATATCATATAATTGAGAGCAAGTCTGAATAAATGTATACATATACCCAAGGAGTGTCCATGAAGTTTGGGTAAAAGTACATGTCGGGTACAGGTACGGGTACGGCATCATGATAGAAATACCCAGGTAACATAGAACACAAGTGATAAATGTTAAATAAGTTCATGTGCAACGGTCTCGGTTGAAGTTTAACCTATCAATCATTACCTAGGTTACTCAGACACGGCGTTCTGGATGTCAAGTCCATGTCTGACACGTGTCCTACACACTCTCCGCGGACACGACATAAACACGTGTGGTTCAAAGCAAAAACCAGATTTTAGTTATACCCTAAACTAGTTTCTTTGGTAATATGGGAATCAAAACCAACTGCTTTTTGAACTCAAAAACCCATTACTTAGTTTGAACAATACCCATCGTATTATCTCACAAACTTTTGTTGTTAAACCTTAGTAGTAGTTTGATTTAACTTGATTTTTAATTGTTATAGATAATAGAAAGAAACATATAAATGTAATAGATATTTTAATTCAATAATCTAATATATATTATATATATATATATATATATATATTATATATATATATACATATATATATATATATACACACACACGTGTCCCCGTATCCTACATTTTACAAAGCTACTGTGTCCGTGTCCATAACCATGTTCATGTCCGTGTCTGCACCTATATCCAGGATAACTAGATTAGCATATTATTTTGGTCCAAACAGATGCAATCATTTTCTCAAAGGATAAACAGGGAAAAAATTAAAAAAAGAAATTGCATAGCAAAAGCAAAGTAGCAACTAAGTTCCAACACTAAACTGATTCATAAAGGACCCCCTACGATATGTCAGCCACTTCCTCCAACAAAAAAAAGGCATGCCCGCCTGGATATCACATGTGCCATCCGTAATTGACACATAAAAAAATTTAATTGTCACTTATATCAAAGTTATATAAGATGCAATATGTCCAATGTTGTTCTTTTTTTAACAAAAAAATAATCATTTTATAGAGCCTTTTGCTCAAAATAGTTTCTTCCATAAATGATAACAACCAACGCACATATCTTATGAGTGAAAACCACATATATTTAGACAAAAGAAAAGATTCATATAAAGATCATCTCATGTATCTGGAATTTGGAGAATTTATATGCCCATTTAGGAGCACGACACCCATGCGTAACTACTGATCTTAGAAACAACCATTTTTCAAGCTTTTGTGTGTTACAACAAATAAAACAAAGAAGCTTACGTGCATTACAAGTAACTTACACTAAAACATATTATTGCACATGTGATTTTCAAGAATTTGAAGAATTAGAAAACATGAATAAATATGATAACATTTTGAGTTTAGCCATTTAGGTGTATTACAAAAGCAATATTAAAATCCACTCCAACTAAGCAGGAAGAAAAGGAGGGGGAGGAAGCTGCTGGTGGCATTTTTGCTCCTTCCCCTCTCCTACTATCTTCTCATAGATCAGGAAATTTGGTGAGTTTTACAGGTAATCTTGAAATATTCCCCAAATCAACAAATCCAAACATATTGGCTCAACATATAGCACCTTTTATCACACGCTACTGAAAATGAGCCGCAATATAAGTTGCATAAATGCTCAGATAGTTATGATTGATGTTCCAATGTGAGACCAAAATTTGGATGCAAGAGCAATCAAACATTTCAAGGTTTATATTTAGAAAGGTTAATTGCAGATTTCCCCTGTAATATCGTGGTGTATAGCCAATAGCCACTTACACCTGCTAAAACTTTCATTCTCACTTACACCCCCTAAATCTGATATGCTCTACTTTTTTGACCTCAACTTAGGGGACTATATAGTTTTCTCTACCAATTAAACTATGCGCAAAAGTAATTTATCATCACGTGATTCCTACATGACATTTCAACTTAACTTAGAAAATAATGCTGCTTGAAGTTTAAGGGTGTATGAGCTGGAAAAAAATAGTGAGGGATATCAGTGGCCACAACCTCACAAAATAGGGGCAGTGATGGAGCCAAGAATTTATAGTAGTGGTGTCACAATATATATAAGAAAGCTATATTACTTATATTACACTCATGTATCTTGAACTTTAATGAGATATGAAAAATACATTTAACTAAATACAATAAAAATTGACCTCCACATGTCCTCACGTGCTTGAAATTGTTGCTTAATAGCTTCATTTGAAATACCATTAAATACATCTTTTATGTGTAACTTACTCTGTCAGCATTCATCTATTTATCTCTCGTTTGATTATGCCAATGATTCTTTTAAAATTTTATTGCAAACAAAATGAGCTTTATGCGAAAGCCAAAGTAATTGGTAAACTTAATGCTTGCTTAATAAGCAAATATATCAATGAATACATAACATCTATTTTCTCTTTTTTTTTTAAAATTTATTGCTCACTTTAGTATATGGTATCTTGGAATTTGACCTTTTAAATTAATGAGTCATCTTTATGTGGATCGCTTTCTTTTGGGCTTGGGTCATTCTCCCCTTAATAGGTTACTTATTTTAAAGTAATGATGTTACTGTGCAGTTGGTCAGGAATTAAGCTGTGTGTTTTCAATTTATCAAATAGGGCGGTGTCACTTGACACCACTCTCTTGCATGCACCTCCACCCATGTTGAGGGGTTGTATCTGCAATTAGCCCTATTTAGAATCTCAAGTAGCTCATATCTTTCCTGATCATGGTAGAGAATTGCATTAGTAAATTGATCACATTGAGGCATTTAAAGCAATTTCTATAACACAGACAAGAACATGAATTTTTTTTCATTCACAATAGAATATTCACCACTTTCTGTCAAGGTTTTGGATGACATTTATGTATGCTATCATTAAACTAAAGCAGTGTTTCCCATATATAATAGAATATAAAGCTCATGAAGGACTACAGATGATATAAACCTCAGTCAAATCAAACTAAAAGCATCAGATTGAGTGAAATAAAGGGTAAATTACACTACACACCCAAGAACTTTCATTGTTTGTAGTAAACTCCCAATAACTTTCAAAATCACATTAAATCCCCATTAATAACAGAAAACGCCCAATATCTTTGGATAAATTAAACTAAGCATCAAATAACTTTCAAAATGCCTTTTTATGTTGTTTTTCAGTTCGAACTTATGAGGCTATCTGCAAAAATGCAGAAATTGGAAGTTTTCTGCAGTTCAAGATGTTATCTGGAGGTTATTACGATTTCAAAAGTTTTCGGGAGTTTACTCTCAGACTCTGAAAGTTCTTGGGGGTTCAGTATAGCTTTACCCCTAAAATAAAGGCAAAAGAGGATAAATAGAATGCTTAAAATGCTGGAAAATAACTCATCCCATCCATTCACCCATGATGATGGTGGTAGAGATATCATAACCAGAATCATAATCAAGCGCATATCAATGTAACACTTTTTATAATCAATTTTTTCAGGTTACAACTACTATATATCAAAATTTTCACTTGATTTTGGTCCACAATCCGTTCAAATGAGAGCTTTCCATCACACATTCGACGAGAACCTCAACTAGAGTAAAATTAAAGGGGAAACCCTAAAAATACTCACCTGATCGCCACCGTTCTCAAACTCAGGCTCAACAGTTCGATACTCGTGCATGATCCAATTAGTCCTCGATCCTTTCGGCGCACGCCCCCGGTGAAAAACCAGCGTCTTCTTCATCCCAACGAGCACAGCGGGCTTCTCACGCGAAACCCTAGACCGGATCAACCGGTCTTTGCCGGTCGCCTTCCAGTATCCAGCCTCCGTTGCCCGGTTCGACCGGCCACTGTTCGCATACTTACGGTCAACTGGCGCGAAAAAGAACCACTCAGGGTCGTTCGATTTGATAGGCGACCTCTCCGGTAGATCCCAAGGCTCGAATCTACAGACATCGATCTCAGGGACGACGGCGGCGTCGGCGGCCTTGATCTTGCCGTTGATCTTGCTTTTGAGGTAGTAATTGATGAGCTCTTCGTCTGTGGGATGGAAACGGAACCCTAACGGCAGGAGGTGGAAGGGGATCGACTGCGTCTCGTCCATCGTTAGAAAGGAGGTGGAAGGGGATCGACTGCGTCTCGTCCATCGTTAGAAAATTGACGGAACGTGGGTTTAGGGAATTGGGTATTTATATGGAAGGTGGGGTTCTTGGAAGCGGGAGAGAAGTTGGGTTGACACGTCTAGGTGGGGGTTTTGACCGTTGGATGGGGATCCGATGGATGTGATGTGGGGACAGGATCTTTTTGAAAAGCAAAAGTGGCTCGATTTTTGATGCTATTGGATTCCTTTGTCTGGACTCTGGGGTGATTGGCTCTTGGCGAGTTTGCGTGAAAGTCCTTTTATATGTTGTAACTCTTTCCGGTAACTCATCTATATTTTCTCCAACTATTTTCTAACTTTAAACAATCTAAAATATACATATTTTAAAAGAGATTCTCAAATGTCCTATGTTATATCAAATAGAACGACTAGATTTGATTTGTGTTCTAGACACCAATAATAAATTTTAACAATGTTAATTTTTGTCCAATGACATTTCGATGTTATTTTGACCATGACCAACAACAGCTAGCAAATATCTCCAATAACATTGGCTATTGTCAATCAATATTATGAGAGAGGAGACAGAGAATTAACTTAGAATAAATTTAATAGAAAATAATAACAAGAATCTATTTGAAAGGTTGAGAGATGTTTAAAATATCCATCTTCTAGGCTGCGATTTTTTAAAATTTAAGATATGTGTGTATCCAATGCTTAATTTTAACTCAATATTTGATTAGAATATAAAGCTTTGGATATCTCTTTATTTTCATTTAAACGTTTTGGAATTAGGACTGGATCCTTCGGAAGCATTAAACAATCAAATATAAATATCCCTTGTCAGTAAATAGGGACTTCGCTCTTTTCAGTAGAAGAAAAACTCTTGCATCAACCTTTGATACTACAAAAATGTTGGCATTGTAGGGGGGGAAAGGCAATTTTGCCTTCAATGAATAGTCCCACATTGTTTAGTGAGATGAATAGTTGAAGGTTTAAATTGCTTCTCCTCTCATTGGGATTTGAGAATCCCTAAGAATGTGGTGTTTTGGGCTTTGAATTGTTTGGGCTTTGCATAACATACACAAGCGCATACACCTCGCCCCGCCGTATGCGCACGTGTTTTTTTTTTATTTTTTTCGAACTTTTTTTACATGTTTTTCTTATTGAAAATGTGTGGAACGGCTGCGGGAAATTTGCATAATGGCTGAGCGTTTTCGCGAATTTTGCGAGTAACGTGCGGTTTTGTAACGGCTATGAGGGGTGCTCAACCCTATAAATACAGAGGGTTTCTCACTTCGTAAAATCACAATCAAGACTTCTCTCCTCTCCTTTTCTTCTGTAAAACAAGAACTATTTTCTCTCCCTCTCTCTAAAAATTCTCGGTTATTATTACTTTTATTTTGGACAACCGTCTTCATCTGAACAGAAGCTCTTCACTATCGCCCGAATATAGAGGTCGGCCAATTCCGGGGGGTTTTACCGCTAGGGGAGAGGGGATCCTCTGCGTTTTGGGCGAAAGACGGGTTATTAATCTTCTAGAGTAGTGTTTACACGACTGCTCTCGATCAGGCCAGATTTTCTTGTTTCTTTTATTTTGGTTTTTTGCATGCTATAACCATAATTATTTGATTTATATCTAACAATCTAAAAGATTAAAAAGTTTATAGATGTTGTTTTTTTAATCTGGAATGGGAAAAGAATTTATTATTACTGTTCACAAAAATTGTTGTTGTTCATCCGGGAATATTTTACAGTTATTGTTCATCCGAAGAAAAAAATTAAATTGTTCTGTTAATATTACTAGTTTACAAAAAATTTAGCATCAAACTCATCCTTAAAGTCATACTCCTAAGTAACTAGTCGATTAGTATTGACAAACCCCTTTCATTCCCTTCAGATTTCAAATACCTAGACTAGTTAACTTGAATCATACTTATGTCTAACTCTAATCATTCTAAAAGTGTCAAACCTGAGAAGTTTACCGATGTTAACTATAAACGGTGGGGTAATCAGATGAGATACTGGCTCACCATCTCATGTCTCCTATCTGCCATTGACACCTTTGAATCCTCATCCTTTGGATCTCAACCTATGACCTCCAACTCTCTTGATCCTGAATAACCTACTCCTTCAACTTCTGCTTCCGGTGCTAGTTCCTTCTCTAGTCATATGAAACCAAAAGAAATAAACTATCATTATTGCCATAGGATTCTTAGTGCACTTGCGGACAACCAATATTATGAGTTCAAAAGTGCTAAAGACCTATGGAATGCTCTTAAACCAGAATATGGTTTTGACGATGCCGGAATTCTGCATTTCACCTCCTCTTCCTTCGATAAGTTCATGACGGTTGATGACAAACCTATAAATGAACAAATTCATGAATTCCGAGATTTCATTCGTCACCTCCAATCAAAGGGAAACTCCTTTACTGATGACATTAAAGTTTTCTGTTTGATTGACAAACTCCATCCCTCCTGGTCTAGATTTGCTGGAGATCTCCAACACAAGCAAAGAGATCTAACATTAACTGAAGCCCTCAAGGCTATTCGTATTGAAGACCAGCATAGACAAAATTCAAAAACCAAGACCGAAATGAAAGCTAAAGTGAACTTGATAGATGATAAGTGTAAATCTAAGAATTTCAAACCCAAAGGGAAGAAATTCAAGAAAAACCAGCAATCCTTCAATAAATCATCCTCCAAATCAAATCCAAATTCTTCCAACTATAAGTCTGATGGAAACTTATGCTATGTCTGTGGTAGAACTAACAACTTGGCTCCAAACTGCTTCTATAGGAAGAAGGAACCGAAAAAACCTGCTCCAAAAGGAAATGAATCTAATAAAGTAAATATGATTAAAAAAATTCAAATTCCTTTAGGTTAGCCTCTTTATCCTATCTTGTAAATTCTTTTACTTCTTCCACTGATAGGTATTTGGATTCCGAGGCTAATATTCATATTTGTAATGATCGCTCTTAGTTTTCAACTTACCAAGAATCACATGGAGGAAGCATAAGCTTAGCAGATGACTCCACCAAATAAATAATAGGAAGTGGATGCATAGAGCTCACCATGACTTCTGGAAAAGCTCTCAATCTGCAAGGCATTCGTCATGTTTCTTCTCTCCGCTGTAATTTGATCAGTGAATCTCTTCTTCTTAGAGCTGGACTTATGATTATAAAGGAATCCAATAAATTTGTAATTACAAAGAGCAATGTATTCATAGGGAAATGTTTTATCTATAATGGTCTTTTCGAACTCAATACAATCAATTCCAGTTCTAATAAAATTCCTAAATCTCATGTTGCTCAAATTGTTGAATCTTGTGATGTTTGGCATGGATGACTTGGACATGTAAACTTTCAAACTTTACAGAGAATGATTAAATTGAATCTTATTCCCAAATCATCTCATGATCCCTCATCTAAGTGTAAGATTTGTGTTCAAGGGAAACACACTAAAAAAACTCTTTAAGTATATAACTAGAAACTTTGAACCTCTCGTATTAATTCATAGTGATGTGTGTGACTCGAACCGAGTTCTCACCCGAGGGGTAGGAGATATTTTGTGACTTTTATACATGATCACTCCAGATATTGTTACACCTATCTTCTCAGAACTAAGGATGAAGTTCTGGATAGGTTTAAGGTGTATAAAGCTGGATCTGAGAATTAACTTGAAAAGAAGATCAAGATCTTAAGATCTGATCGGGGGGAGTATACCTCAAATGAAATGTCTGAATGTTGCCAAGAGTATGGTATTTTTATGAGGTAACTGCTCTCTATACACCATAGTCTAACGGGGTAGTTGAACAAAAGAACAGGACCCTTATGGGCATGGTGAATTGTATGTTACTCAGTTCAGGAGCACCAGAAAATCTCTGGGGTGAAGCTCTTCTTTCTGTCTGCTTCATTCTTGATAGGATTCCCCATAAATCTTATGATATAACTCCTTATGAATATTGGAAGGGGAGAACTCATAGGTTGAACTTCTTTCGGGTTTAGGGTTGCTTAGCTAAGATAGTTATTCCCGAACCTAAGAAGAAAAAAATTAGATCTAAGACTATTGATGTTATATTTATTGGATATGCACTAGATAGTAATATTTATAGATTTCTAGTCATTAATTCTGAAATCAGTGACATATCCAATAATATTATCATTGAAGCTATAGATGCAGTCTACTTTAAAAACATTTTTCCATTCAAATCCAAAATCTCATAAAATCCTAGATCATCTTTTCCTTCTGATTTACCATCTTCTAGTTCTTCTCAGCTTCTTGATATTGAACCTCGAAGAAGTAAAAGAGGTAAGATTCAAAAGGATTTTGGAGAAGACTTCTTTACTTTTATTGTTGAAGGTGATCCAAGCTCCTTTAAGGAAGCAATGGATTCTCCTGAATCTCCTTTCTGGAAAGAAGCCATTGATAATAAAATAAAATCAATAATGAAAAACTATACTTGGATACTCATTGACTTACCTCCAGGTTGTAAACCTGTCAGTTGTAAGTGGATATTCAAGAAAAAACTTAGAGCAGATGGTTCCATTGATAAATATAAATCCAGATTAGTAGCTAAAGGCTATACTCAGCAAAAAGGCATCGATTACTTTGATACATAGTTCCTGTAGTCTGAATCTCAACTATCCGAGTATTATTGGCCTTTGCTGCTATTCATAAGATAACCATACATCAGATGGATGTCAAGACTGGTTTTCTAAATGGTGATTTAGATGAAAAAATCTATATAAATCAACCTAAAGGCTTTATTGCCAAAGGTCAGGAAAATAAAGTCTACAAACTTGTTAAATTTCTGTATGGTCTAAAACAAGCTCCTAAACAATGGCACCAGAAATTTGACAGAGTCATTGCACAATATGGCTTCATTGTGAATGAACACGATAAGTGTGTCTATTCTAAAGTGATAAACAATGACTATGTCATGCTATGTTTCTATGTTGATGATATCATTATCTTTGGAACAACATTTGAAGAAATCTTAAA